CAAAAAGAAAAAAAAAAGAAAAGAAAAGCTGGATGGAAACAAGCCAAGCTAAGGCCAGGCATTCATAAGAAAGAATAAAACTCCATGTGATTTATTTGGGAGCTAGGTGGTAGGCCCCCAAAAGAGCCAAAAAGAGTACAGAGTAAAAAAAAAAAATTAACAGTTGGATCCTTGGATCCTCTGGACCTGGAGTTACAGACAGTTGCAGACGGTTGTGAACTGCCGTGTAGGTGCTGGGAACTGAGCCCAGGTCCTCTGGGAGAGCAGTCAGTGCTCTAAATCACTAAACCATCTCTCCCGCCTCACCCCTTGGTGATCCTTACAGCCTTCCATGTCAGGTCAGTACAGTTTTGATCCCTGCTATACAGACGAGGAGGCTTAAAGAGGGACCGTGACCGGATCAAAGCCCCTGCCCTGTACACAGTGCGGTCCTACCCACCCTTCCAGGCTTCTTGGGTGTTCCAGAGACAGGGATGAGATGGCTGCTGGCTGGGGGCCTCAGGAGAGAGCTCTGCTGGACTGCCCCTCCCTCAATCCAGCTATGGGCCTGGGGGGCCATGACACCTCCGTGACAGCTAGCTCCCCAGGGAGAGTGAAATACGCCACCCTTTGTCAACGCGGCTGTCCCACACTCCACTGGAATTGGCTAGATTTCTGCTTGCAATTATTTACTGCGTATCGACTGAGCGCCAGAGGCAGCAGGGGAGGCCGCATGGGAAGCAGGGAGAAGACAAAGGCAGCGGCTGTTTCTTCAGCTATTTTTACTCTCTGTGTGGAGGGCTGACTCCCATTTCACGGGAAGACAGTTAGCTACAGCCTGAGGCTACACAGTCCAGCGCTGATCCATCATCAGTCGGGAGGCAAAGACAAGAGGCTCAGACCTTCAAGATCATCCTCGGCTCCCTCCACAGGGAGCCTGAGGCCTGCTGGGCAGAGGGGTGGGTGTGTGCTGAGGTTGGCACCAGTTGCCTAAGGTGTCTTTTTAACTTCTCTAGATTGGTTTGCTAGGCTCCCGGGAAACCCTGAGCCTTAAAGGGGGTGAAGGGGACCGGCATTTTCAAAGGTGCCAGGCACCACACATCTCTATTCACCACTCCAGTGAATCTCAGCAACCAGAGTATACACCACTGTTAACTCAGTGCGACAGAAGGGGATCCTGAGCCACAGCGATTCGGTGTAGTGGGTTCAAGAACACACAGCAGGGGAATTGGTATTCGAATTAGGGTCTCTCTGATTCCATGCCCAGTGGTCTCTCTCCTTCTCTACCTCAGGGCTCTCGCCTCTGCCCTGCCGTCATCCCTTGCCAGAGGCTAGCTAGTACTTAACTCCTGTGGGGAGACCCTATGGTGGTGAATTGTGAAGACAGGAAGACAGTCTAAGGGACATTTTCTTTGAAGCCCAGCAGAGGGCGCCTCCTCCACAGCCACACTTCCAAAGCTTTCTCTCTAGAGGCCGCTGGGGAGCCTCAGAGAAGGGACGTGTCTCATGGGAGCCCAAAGCACGTGCATTGTGCATTCCGTTATCTTTGGCCTTCTTCTAAGGGTGCCCCCCTTGCTGAATCCCAGGGGACCCACCAACATGAGAACTCTTCCATCCTGCTATGGATGGGGAAACTGAGGCTAGGGGATGCAAGAGACTCAGCCAGATGTCCTAGAGATCTGCAGCTCTCACGTGTGCCTGCCCCCAGCTTCAGGATATTATACCCCGGATTTCAGAGAGCCTAATAAGGTTCATATTTGAAGCCTTCCAGAACCTTGGCTCAGTTCCTTCAGCTGTTTCCTGGGAAGAGTGTGTGTGTGTATGTGTGTGTGTGTTGGGGGTGGACAATGGTGGCCCCTGGATCTATTGCAGTTACTTGTGCTGAGTGGGACAAGGCTCAGCTAAGAACAGCAATCCCAAGGGAGGTGAACCTGGGCGAGTGTTGGGAAGACACCTGCCTGTGGAAGCCAAGAGTGAGCACACAGTGGCAGGCATACCTGTCTCTGCCAGCCTAGCAAGCTGCCTGCCTCCCAACCCCATTCTTTGCCCCATGTCCATGAAGGGCCCCAACTGAGAGCCCTCAACCACATTAAAGGGCTGCGACCCTAGCCTAGGTTCCCATTGTTTGGGAGGGGACCTGTCCAGGGCCACAGTGTCACCAGCTTCTAGCCTAGGCTTCTAGCTGCCCTTGGACTCCAGGAGAGTAGCCATGTGGCTGAGGATCATGAAGCTAGGAAACTCTGCTTCCCCACGTGCTCAGCTACTGAGGAGTCATTTTGTCCCTTCACATTGGTAAGCATAAAAAGGCAGTAAGAGCCAGGTGGTGGTGGTGGTGGTGGTGGTGGTGGTGGCGGCGGCGGCGCCGCCACCACCACCGCCGCACGCCTTTAATCCCAGTACTTGGGAAGCAGAGGCAGGTGGATCTCTGCGAGTTCAAGGCCAACCTGGTCTACAGAGTGAGATCCAGGACAGCCAGAGCTACACAGAGAAACCCTGTCTCAAAAATAAATAAATAAATAAACAAACAAACAAACAAACAAACAAACAAAAGTAGTATAAGAGACCAGAAACTACAGGGCATTGACCATGACGTGCCCAAGCAGGACTTGGCCTCCTCCTTAAGATCTCATTTAACTACACAACAGCCCTCATGTGAATTGTGTATCATCCCCTGTGGAGAAATGATAAACCAAGACTCAGATCAGCTAATAAGCACA